TTCTCTCTCTCTATCGAAGCAAGCCTTCTCTCTCTATCGGTGCAAGACTTCTCTCTCTATCGGCGCAAGCCTTCTCTCTCTCTATCGGTGCAAGCATTCTCTTTCTCTATCGATCCAGGCCTTCTCTATATATCGGCGGAAGTATTCTCTCTCTATATATCGGCGCAAGTCTTCTTTCTATCGGCGGAAGCCTTCTCTTTATCGGCGGAACTCCTCTCCAATAATCATTCGGGACAGAGGCACAGCACAGAGACGAATGTATGGTGTCGTGCTGCCGTTCGCAGACCTCACAGGCCGCCGGAATCAACGACAGGAATGCTGCCCCTGTTCTTTCACCCCTCGGAACATCCCCGTACATAACGCGTCCTTTTACTATCATCATCGTCGTCATCAGACTACAAAAATCGGAAATAGTTACAAACGGCGGAAGACTTCTCTTTTGCTACCGTACAATGTTCATGAAGTTTCAAGTACATCGAGCGAGCAACCTGTCATGCCTGTCATGAAACAAGCCTCGCGAGCAGTAGTTGGAAATTATGCTCCAGAAAAACGAGTCGGAAGTAGGAGGGCTGAATGTAATGTATTTACTGAAGTTCTCCAATGACTCAAGGCAGAGAAGAAGAAGAGCGCCGGGAAGATGAGAACACGGAAGCGGAGTACACTCACTCCCCCATCCACATTTGTTATCAACAATTTGCTTCGGTTTCACTTTCCGCCTCTCTCTCTCTCTCTCTCTCTCTCTCTCTCACACACACACACACACACACACACACACAGAGACATACGAAGACGCACACGCACGCACACGGGCACACATACGCGCGGGCAGAGAAAACACAAGCAGAACCATCCACAAACCGCGTCAACTTCGGCAGAAACCTGTGCAGCGGACAATCATTCACTTTCACTCAGTCTTTGTTTTTGCGATTCGTCGCTCAATGGACCGGTCGAGAAGGGGGGGAGAGGAGAGGTGTCCACCAGGGATGCCCGCCAACAAACCGTACTCTATCTTTCTGTACACAGCATCTGTAAGCATCTAAATGACAAAAGAGAACAAATCGTTCAGCGAGACATCGATTACCTAGCGCTGGGATCTGATCGACGGATGAATGGTCCGCCTCCCATCCGTTTCGTTCATCGACAGATCCAGTGATCCTCCTAAGGAGAATCATGAGGCAAGAGAAGGGAAGAGGAGGGAGCCATTACTCGCTGACATAGAGAATCACGTCGTTCAGCACAGAAAAGGGCGCAAAACAGGAACACAAAAAGACGTCGCAGGAGAGATCATCATTCTCACAAGTACTTGAAAGTCGTTTTCCCTTTTCTTCGGGAGAAAGCAGCCAGGGGAAGTGAAAGGAGGAGAAGCAGCGATTTGCGGGGCGGAGAGAGGGAAGAAGCACAGCAGCAGGACTTGGCTGCCATCCTTTCAAAATGGAAGACGTCATCTTTCTCAGCGAACGGGGAGAGGAGAGAAGACCAGGAGAATGACGTGGCAATCTGAAAAGATGCCAGCACAATCCTGCTTCAGATTATTCGTCTCCCTCCCCTGCCACGGCCACAGCTTGACCTCGGTCCTGATAAACGAGGAACCTACCGTCTTCACCCGAACAGAACGCCCGGTCATTTTCAGTGTATCTAGACTGAAAGTTGCACCAAATACAGCTATCATGACCGGGCGTTCTATTCGGGTGAAGACGGTAGCTCTGTTGGTGGTACACCCATGCACTGGATTTCGTCTGTGTTTCCTTTCTTCTCACGAAATAGAGACCCAAGCTCGAATCCAGATGCAATCAGATGAAAACAGCCATTTCATTTCTGGAAATGGGTGAGAAAAAGGAAAAACAGAGGAAAACAGGATTAAGACGGAAAACGAAAACAACAGAGAACGGAAGAGAAAATGCGAGATCCCGCCGTGACATTCAGGATTTAAGATCCAGGACGGACCTTTGAAAAAAAAAAAAAAAGACCCGGTAAAGTGCTACAAGCCTACAACTAGATACATACGAGCTCGGAGTAAGTATGGGATTTTGGAAAAGGGAGGGAAAGGGGGGGGGAGGGGGGAGGGGGGCGGAGGGGACGGGGAAGGGGTAAGAGAATGAGATGAGGGAAACACATGAAGATTCGCTGAAGGCGGGACGGTGATGTCACGAAAGCGAGACCGTAACCGCGAAAGCTGCTGTTCGTGGTGGATTGATAGCGTCAACCGAACCGTCCTTCACTCGGTCTGTCAGTGTGAGAGTTTTTCCAACTGAGTTTTTTCCCTCTGTTTCGGCAGTTGCAGTCGTGGGCTGCGTGCACCAAATGCCCGCATAGTAGACAGGCACTCATAGTATGCACGCATATTTAAGACTGGAATAACTGCAAAACGGAGAGGGAACAGGCGACGGGACAGCCTAGATACGGGGACCGCATAGGAAGACACAGAGAACACAGATATGACATCCTCTTTCCCATCGTTCAAAGGCAGCAGCCCATCTACTCCGACCTCTTGCCTTTTTCCATGTAATCGTTGCTTATAGGCTTATATCGACCTTTGAGGAGACGAACATACAAAAAAAAATCAAATCCTCTCTCTCTCTCTCTCTCTCTCTCTCTCTCTCTCTCTCTCTCTCTCTCTCTCTCTCACACGCACACACACATAGACACCATTCGAAGAACAGGAAGATGTAGGCAGAGTTCGGCACCCAACGCTCGCCCTCGCCCCCYCCCCYCCYCCCCCCRCCCCCCGCCCGCACCYSCACCGACCAGCCCGCCTGATTCCGAGCGGAAAATCAAGTCCATGGGACTCGCAGAATATATCAAAGAAGAGTGCCGTAGCCGTACATTTATTCATTCCTCTACCACTAGTCTGCCGACCGTAGAAAGCTACGCCATCGTTTTCCTTTCTCTTAGGTGTCAAACCCACGTAATAAAGGCACTCGACACACACTGAGCGACTGTGAATTTCTGACAATAAACAATAGCAAGGGCAATATTGACACACGGGACTATTTGTTGACAACTAAAACTCACTTTCCGCACTCGGGACTGTAGCGGTTTCACAACTTTTCACTCCTTTTTCGTCTTTTTCATCTTTTTCAGAGAGTAAATATTGTAGCGGTTTCACTCCTTTTTCGCCTTAAATTTTTTTTTCGATTTCCACACCGTATTATCTTTTCTTTCGGCAATTTTCTGCATTTCATTGCGAAAAACAAAATTCAACAAACGGCTTCGATCGATAACCCCGCGTCGAAAGTCCCCATCCACCCGAGGAAACGACGAGACGAGAGACGAGAGAAAGCAGTACAGAACGCAGGAAAAACAAAGTGGACAGGAGGAGAAAAGATTCCGAATAGAGGGGGTCCAGGGGGAAAGTGCGTTTAATGAGAAGAAGACGAGAGAGTCCGACGAGAAAAAGGAATACAAAACGTCGGGACAGTCAAAAAAAAAAAAAGGATGTACGATAAGGAAAGAATTTGGATGTTTTGGTACCTTCGTCTTCTTCGTCGTCGGGCTCGTCGGCTCGTGCTGGTTCTTCTTCTTCATCCTCTGCCTCCTCCTCGATTCCAGCATGCCCTCCTCTTTCGGAGGCGTCTTCTTCGCCTTCTCCCTCCTCATCCTCTTCTGCTTCTTCGGCTTCTTCTAGCTCCTCGCCTTCTTCTCCTTCCGGCTGCTCACCATCTTCTTCTCCTTCGTCTCCCTCTCCGTCTCTCTCCTCTCCATCATCTGCTTCTGCTTCGCCATCCACTTCGTCTTCCTCTTCGGCTGCCTCTCTCTCCTCTTCAAACTCCTCTGCGCGATCGGGGCAACCAGTCATCAGATCACCATCATCACTCGTCATCATCAAAATCAGCTTTTTCAAATCCCTCATGACAGAACACACACGGACATCAACTGCCACACATCACATGGAACTTTTTTTTTTCCGCCCGCACTGCGACGGAATACGTGCGACGGAATACGAGGTTCTCGAAGCTCTGACGAAAACGAAAATTGAAACAAATCGACTTCAACGTCCTCACGAAAACACAGCCTACTTCGATTGTCGTTTAACACCAGAGGCAGAGCCAGAGGGGAGGAGAGGGGAGGAGAGGGGAGGGAGGGAGGGTAGGGGGGCAGAGAAACGAAAAACGCAATTCATATAGCCTGTTGAACACAAGCCAAAACTTGCTATCATCGATAACCATCCAGAGATTTCTGTGCGTTTCCCATTTAATTCGTTTCTCGTCTTGGCCGCCTGCCGATTCGTTCTTTTATTTTGTCACGATTTTTTTTTTTTGGGGGGGGGGGGGGGAGGGGGAGGGGAAGGGGAACAACAAGACGAAAAAGAGGTAACCAACAAGGACAATACATTCAGCGCACCGATTTGACCCAAAAAACGATGCAGAAAGCAATAGACGCACGAGATCCCCAAGGGCAATTCATTCTTTTCAAGGACCTTTCCAGCATCATCAATGAGATTTTTACAAAGCGAGTAGTCTTACCATACTTTAGGGCCTAGAAAAAGAGAAAGAGAGACAAAAAAAAGAGAGAACGAAAGCATCGCTCACTCGTGTGGGCAATCGGGAGGCACTAGTATGCTTCTTCCAAATCGCTATTCCACACAGTAAACGTTTTTAGGCATAATATTCGTCCTAAATCGGTCAGAGATCGTTTTCTTCCACGGAGATCTACCGCCGTGACTCCGAAGGCTTGAAAATGTAGGAGGAAGGGGGGGGTAAAACAGAAAAAGAGAGAGAGAGAGAGAGAGAGAGAGCAGGCAGAAAGGAGAAGGCGTAATGGGAGAACACGGCAAAGTAGGAGCAGATAGATCATGGACATGAAGCTGACATAGGTGAAAGAGAGAAAAAAAGAGAGAGAGAGAGAGAGAGGAGGGAAAACAGAAAAGAGTAAGACGTAATAACGAGGAAAACGAGCGAGAGAGAGAGAGAGAGCATTGCCAACAAGAGCGAAGACAACATGCCATACGAGAGACGAGCACGGTGTGAAATCTGCGGGCGTATTTTCAACCGCGCAGCGAACCCTTCGCTCACCTTCGGAATCAGAGATGGCCCCCATGGCGAACGCCTTTCGACCAAATTTGCTATCCTTATCCCTCCTTAAGAAGGAGGGTAACGACGTCAGCTACGAAGTTGTCAGCCTACTTTTCTGCAACTCCCACGGCTATGGAGGAATCACCGAGTAGAAGACGGGCACATCCGAGAGCGGAAGTCGAGGTGTCGAAGCCGATAGAAACAACGCGCAGCTAGAATTGTCGGGAACGACAGTAGATTTTCAGACAGAAAGAGCCCAGGCAGAAGGCGCCACCACCAAAGACTACCACTCCCACTACAACCACCGGCGGGGAGAGGAGGGAGAATGACACAACGCGCTCGCACCAACGATGGCTATCGAGCTCCGCATCGCCACCTGAACGACTGTGCTCGCCCTCCCAGCCTCACCCACCGGACCCCTCACCCGCTGCCCTGGCTCGCCGCACCCTCCGTAACCTGCCGTTCTCCCCTTCTCCGTCGCGCCCTCTCCCGGAGCCCCGACTCCCCGACCTAGTCTGCGGTTTTCCGACCCGAGGCTAAGTCCCACTAGCGGCGTTGAGTTTCCTCAACGTCCGAATCTGGACGTGTTTGTGGAGATGTGCGGTTGAGGAAACTACAAGTCCAGATTCGGGCATTGAGGACAGCCCCCCGAATTCCGATTCCCACGGGCGCACACAGCCGATGAGCGTGTCCCCAACTCCAACGAAAGCACTCCACCTGGACGGAGCTGACCACCCAACCACACAGGCACTCACAAGACCAGTATATTCCATCGATGTCATCGATTTCCCGTCGGTTGACATGCACATGACGAATGCCTGCCTTTGCTGGTTCTTTTTTCTTTGGGAAAACTAGGGCGCTGTCACGGTTTTAGTTTGAAAATGCGCTTTAGTCACGATTTCGCAAACGCTGTCCCAAAGCCAGGGATGTGTTGTGTTTGAGGGATGCCGAATTGAAATAGCTTTTTTCTTTTTCTTCTTTCACATTTCACTATCTACTACAACTACCAACTCATAGACAACCGGGATATGGAGATGGTGGGTTGGGATCTAGATATATGGGGTAGATGGGCTTGGCACCAGTACATGCCAGTTATCGGCCACAGCCCCCTTTCGGAGACTGCTCACCGCCGATTCATTTTATGTAGGGCGCTCGGCCTACTAAATTTTCGGAGAGGCTCAAAACAGGTTCTCCAATTGCCTGGGGCCATGTACTGGTGGCTTAAACTCCTCAAGAGTGGAGTAGAGTGGGGGGTGATAACTGTCTCCTTCCAGGAGGACGGAACGGCAACATTTTGTTTGTGAGTTCATGTCCCATATGCCAGATGTTGATAATCTGCTTATTGCAAGTGATTGGAACTGTGCATTCGATCATATAGATGTCATTGTTCCCAGAGCACCAGACACAACCACTTTGTTAGATTATATAATAGAACTAGAGTTGTCAAATCCCTTTCATTTAATGTACCCATCAGACATTGGTACCACATGGTTCTCTACGGCCAATGAGAACGGCTCAACGGGATGTCATAGAAGGCTGAATTCGTTTTACTTGGTTCTAAGTGAAAAAAGGCACTCATGAACGTCAAAGTTGCTCAAGAACCACTCTCTAATCACAATCTTGTCCTTGCTTTCTTCAAACAATCGAGAAGCCTTTAAAAAAAAAAGGATACACACGAAATTTGAAAGTTACAAAACAGACTGGGTGTTCAGACTCTAGAGAGTCTATAAATCTTACAAACTTCAATTTCATAATTTGGGGATTGGTGGGATACTGGGATTGCCTTGACATAAAATCTACTTAGTGTGTTTTCCAAAATTATGACAACTAAGTGGAATGAAGAGGAACAAGGGATATGGAAAAAATTGTGTCAGATAGAGGAAAAAGTGGCACACCATCCGACTTCTGCAGCAGTATAGGTGGGGAAAAAAAACAAAGTTACTCACGGAATGGGACAATCAACATATTTATAAAAAAAAAAGGATAAAAAGAATGAGAATCAAGGGCATGATGGTCTTCCACAAAATGACAAGAGGCTCGTTCTATAAATTAACCTCAAAGTCTGCAACTCAATCCATGACCACGCTCCAACATTCGCTCATCTCGGAAAACAAACCTTCAAACCCGCTTCAAGGCATGTACGACTACGCTATGATATACTTTAAGACTGAATATTCTAACCACTATACGCTAAAATGAAGATATCGATCAGGACTTGTCCCATGTTTTAAACATTGGGATAAACGACAATAAAACTTAAAAGCTCACATAGATAGAGACTCGAGTTGTATCAATGATAGAGTTAAAGGAAGCAGTCAGTGGTATGGCGAAAGAGAAAGTTCATGGAAGAGACGGCCTACCTGACAAATTTTACCTACACCACTGAAAATATCGCTTCCTCATCTATTGAAAATTTATAACGCAATGATATTAGGATCTTCTGTTATACCCTAAATATCATACGAGATTATCTTAGTGTGAAACAAAAGGGCAATAAGGCAGACACAATAAATTGAAGATCAATCTCTCTCCTTAATGTTTCATACAAAATTATGGTAAAAGTTATAGTCAAAATACTTTCAGTCCGTCTCCTCTACCTGGTCAATAGGGACCAACGACTTTCATTTAGGGTAGGTTTATTTTCGATAACGTAGTTATAACACTTCAATTTTTTAAGATCATTAAGCATGGTAACCAAGACTTGACGGTCTTACTGCTTGATTTATAAAATGTATACGAATGTATGAACTAGGTGTATGCTATCACGACACTTAAATTACTGGGGTTTTGTCCTAAGTATGTAAAACAGTGGCAAGTCTGTATTACAATTTTTTGTCTTAAATCATGTTAAACGACATGATCTTCAATGTTTTTTTTCTCTCCCGCTCCCTAAGGCAAGGTTGTCATTTACCGTCATTTGTCTTTGTGCTCCATTTGAGGTACCGGTTTGCACCATCAGGGCACATAAAAAAATCACCGAACTACAGGTTCAATATAAAGTATGCAAGGTGAAAGTGTTATTAGACGATTTATTTATGATTAATGTTAACATCCATAACTCTTTGAATGCACTCAAAAGTTGTTTAACATAGTGTTCCAATTTATCGGTGACAGTAATTAATTGAGGAAAAAATAATTTTCCCTATCTCGTTAGTACCGACTAGCAGTCAAGCTTAGCTTAAAAAAAAATTGCAGATGGCTCAACCAAGAAATGTGACATTCTGGGGGTGCATGACCTTCACAGCGATATTGGGGCCCTACCTCACACCTCTCTTTGTTTGTAAGATCTATGATCCTGAATATGATTTTCCCCCCCTCTCCTCGTACATGTAGGGAAACTCAAACTTATACCTAAACAGTCAATCAATGTGGTCTGCAGGGTAGCAACAAAGTACCTTCAAAAACCTTTAAAGAAAAGAAAAAAAACTTTATTTTCAATGGGGTTGGAAGGAGATTTATACTTAGTATTGAACCTACAAAAACAAAATTAAGGAATGTTTGTTGACTGAGTGGTGAAAATCGTAACGGTTGAGGAGGAAGATCACTGACTGCTACAGGTCGAATGTATTTTATCAAACGAGTGGCAACTTCTTAGACCCGAAGATATACAAAGGCATATTAAGTCCATATTTAAATTTTTAAAGGCGTGAGAGAGAATTAAGCCAAAACTTTCGATCGCGTAAATTATGAAAATGAAAGTGTTGGAACAATTATTGTTTGAAAATTTTGCTATACTCGATCCTTAGGGTCATTCATTCTCAATGGATATAAATTGATCCTCCTTTGGTCGATTATAGATACAGTGTGGTATGCTTAAAATCAAGGACTTGTGAAACAAAATTTATGGTTGTTGAATCTCGGTCGGATATCTCAAGATTAAACTCCCTAGACTGACAGGTACGAAAAAGAAGAGGAATGCTCTGATCTCATTTGTTCCAGTTGCTTGACATAACCTTCTGTCATTGGTCGCAAAAACCCCTCTAGACATCCGGTTCGTGTTATACCGACAAAAAGAAACAGGGAGTAGTTGAAAGTTGACCTTAATAAAAGAGTTTGGTAATAAAGTGTTTTGTGAATGGTCGTTTGTCGATGATGGTACTATCAGTATAATGGACACATAAGAAGCCTCTCTCACATAACCAAGAGGAACAATGTCACAAATCAGGGTAAAAAAACACTTCAACAGTAGTGGCAAATGGTCTTGTATGATTTTTGTAGTCAGGATACCAATTAATAATTTAAGGTTCGATCATGTAATGTGGAGATGAAGTCGTTCGAAAAACTGGTTGTCAGAGTACTCCATCAAGATAGGTTACTTTTAGCTACAGAAAACAGGTCCACCACTGTGGATAGTCATTCAGAACTAGACTCAGGTAACTCGCAATGATTCACAGAATGTGGTAAAACTAATAAAAATTATGTGAGTGCATACAAACCATCCAAACGCAAAGGTTACCAACCCCACTGTGGATGCTCATTATGGCGACAACTCCTCAACAGTGTGGTTGACTTGGAGGAGCACATGGAAGGAAATCCAATTGAGTTGCAAAAGGTGTAAGTGACCTTTTGAATCTATATTTCGTCTTTGGTTGTTTTGTTAACTCTTCATGCGAATTTGGTTATGGTAGAGATTTTAGTGGGTTAAGATTTGCGATAAAACTTCTTGTGGGACGAGGATTGGATCGTGTTCGGAGTGATAGCTTGGAGACACACAAAAACAAAAGTGGGGATATGTGACTTTTGCGATCAGAATCATTATCTTTGGGTCATCTATGAGAACAATTTTCTCTCATACATGACAATAAAATAAAAATTTAAACATAACATACTATTTGTCATAAAATGATAAAACGGGGGAGTAAGTTCAAAGACCTACACTGGTTTAACGATATGTGGGTCAGGAGGAACAAACTTGATGATGTGAGGGCAAAGACGGTTTGTAATTTTTAAGTAGCTTTATACCACTAAGAGAAAACCTCAATGCTCAGTTCACAGTCCACAGAAGGACGACAATCGGTTGGGGATGTATGATGGAAGAGAGAATTTATTTTCTCTTAACCCACATTAATGTCCCAACCCCGTGGTAGAAGGTTTTTTTCCTCGTTCTTTTTGTTTTGTTAGCCTCTTGGAACCATAGGTTCGACGCCCTCATTTTAAGAAGGTGTATGGGTAAGAAGCGGTTGTACTATATGTACTATACTCAATACTTTGTCTTAGGTGTTTTGACTGTTTTGTGTGTGTTCTCAATAAAATTTTGATAAGAGTATATAATTTTTACAAACAGAGTACAATAAGGTAGTGGTTGGTATATCAATAGACAAAAAGTTTTGTGGAGTTTTTAATGAAAGACTTGCAGGCTTTCAATTGGAAAGCTATATTCAATAATACTTCCAGAGGTTTCTTATGTCTGGATGTAGTGT